CCGGGCTCGCTTCCGGCCGAAGACAGGGCGGCCACCGCTCCCGGGTGCTCAGGTTTCCTGCTGGCAGCGCGGCCCAGCGCCTCGGGTAGCTGCGGGTCCTTCAGGTAGCGTGAGATCCGCTGCGCAGGCCGCTTGCGCTCCTCCAGACCGGCCACCCGGGTCCTGCTGCGCAGCGCTCAGCTCGGTCCCCGCCAGTCGCTGGCTCCTGCCGGGTAGGCACCGGCTGCAAGCGCGGCCTGGTTGGGTCCAGCTCGGCGCGCCCGGCCCCACAGGCGTCAGTGCACTGCAGCCGCTGCCCTGTGCGTCCTGCCTGGCGCAGCACCTGCGCTCCAGCCCCGCAGCCAACCCGCATGGCCCTGCCCTCCGAACCGGGTGAGTGCGCACGATGCTGCGCCGCCGACCTTGGGCCGGCGTCCTGCGTCCAGTCCCCTGAGAACGAAGAGACCTGAACCTCCGCAGTGCCCACCCCAGACCTTGTCCCCTGTCCTGTGCTGCCTTTCCCTACCCAGCAGTGGCGTGGGCTGCCCAGGCCTTTGGTGAGCCTGAAGCATCCAAGGTTCCTATCTTAGATCAGATTCGCAAAAAAAAAAAAGAAAGAAAGAAAGAAAGAAAGAAAGAAATTAGGGAAATTAAAGGACCCGGGATATGTTGGATCTTGAGCTCCTGGATAAGTTTTTAGGTGCTGGAGACCAATGGAATGGGTTTGGCTGGGATGGACTTCTAGCAGGAGGCAGAGGTGTGGACGGGATGGGAGGGTGATAAGTCGTTTGAGTCCCCCTTTCTTACCTCCTCTGTCACTGGGCAAGGAAGAGTACAGCCTTGATCTAGTAGGTTGGGTTCCGCCCTTGAACTTCCTGCCTCTGCTTTGCAAGCAGATTTGCTAATGGCTGGTCTTGGCTGGCAGAGGCCTGTGATGTAAGAATGAGAGGCCCTGGATAGGAGACTACTCCTAACTAGATTGTCCCCAAACTGTATGTAACTGGAAGCTTCTTGGTGAGAAATAAGTCAAGTTACTGAGTAAAAGCGGGCAGCACTGAGTCCAGCACAGTCCTGAGTAGTCGTGGGCTGGACACTGAGAAAACATGCCTCCCTGGATTCAAAGAGTCAGGGATGAGTTGCTGCAGAGCCTCTGAGCCAGGCAGAAGCCTCTGTCACCCCTGTTCCATCATCAGCTCCACCTCTGGGGAGCAACTTGGAGGGACTTGGCTTGCTCTGAAGAGGGAGTCCTCTCTGGGTGGGTTGGTGGGAGACTTTGATCTTTCAGGCCTGTCCATCCTTAGCCCACCCTCAGACCTGAAGTCTTCGATACAGGTTAACAGACTCCACCTACATCAAGAAGTTCTTCGAGATAAAATGTTCACTTTTCTTGCTCTTACTCTTACTAGTCACTCTTCAGATGGCCTCTAAACCAATCACAGATCTTGACAGTATCTTGGGCAAGTTACATGTAGTCTTAGATTTAAGTAAGAATATACTTTTCTCTCCTAAAGCAGTGCAGTCAGTGGCCTGGTTCTGCTACCAAGTATACTAATTTATTTCCTCCAAAAGCGCTGACTGCCGTTCTAGGACAAGAGGCAATGGCTCTCTGTCTTTTAGCACATGGTATGAGGAGCTGATGAGGGTACAGGCTGATGGCTCAGTCCAGGATGTTCACAGTCACTAAGAAGTAGCAGTGGCAAAGGGATAACTTCCCTACCCCTTCAGGTCTGGCGTCACATTTAGACATGACTTCTATCTTCTCGTACGCAGGTAGGAACTTGGGAGAGTACCAGCTCCACCATGGTGTTTGATAAATGTCAAATAAAAGGAGTTGGTGTCCGTGTGAAACGTCACATTCATTCCCCTGCTGGACTCTCTTGTGTCTGATATCATGATGATGAAGAAGATAGCGACGCTGACAGATAATACCTATAAAACACATATGCTGAGCTAGGGATGAGTCTAAACACTTCTCATGTGCTGACTAATTAATCAGGGCATCTCATGGCACTGCTATTTTTGTTACTCTTCTTTTATAGGGAATAAAAAAGCCACGGAAAGTTTCGTCATCTGCCCAAGGCCATATAAACAAGTGGTGGGCCAGGATTCAATGCCAGGTAGTCTGGCTTGAGTCCATATTCTTAACCATACACACAACTGACTTGAGATCACCATAGGGGGATTCCACCTCAACTTAGACCATTCACTCATTCATTGTCTTATGTAAACATCTTTTCAACATGCACACACGCTCATGTGTGTGCCAGCGTGTGTGTTCTTTGGAGTGCCTTGGCACTGGATTATAATTGAAAATGAGACAGGTGATGTTGTGGAGGTGATATTTTGCAGGTGTCCAACTCTTGTCACACACATCTCAGAAATAAGAAGGAAATTGATCCTTCTAAGCAAGCCTGCAAGCCTGTGCCTTGCTTTCAGAGAGCAGAGTGGTATGTTTCTTGATGACTCATAATTTGATTCTAGTCTTTGCTGCCATGTAGGGACAATTAAGTGATAAATGTGCACACACCCTGGTCTCTGGAGGAGATGCAGGCCTTTGGGTCTTGTTATCTTAGGTCATCCTGACATCCATTCAGGAGGGATCAGAAGGGAAGTGAGGAAGCTGGGGAGATGGCTCAGTGGATAAAGTGCTTGAGCATGAGGACCTGAGTTCAGATCCCCAGAACCCACATAAAAATAGGGTACATTAGTACTCATCTGTAAACAAAATTGGCTGATCCTGGGCCCTTCTTACCATGCTAGCTGAACAGTGACCAGTAAAGAGACTTTGTCTCAGAAAGATAAAGTGATGAGCAACTGAGGAAACTGACATCAACCTATGGCTTCTACATGTTCAGGTGAGTGCACCTGCACACACACATGCGCACGCACACACACAGAGACCTGAGGCTTTGAGTAAGGGATGAACACTTAGTCCAATTGAGGTAAATATCTCATGAGCCACAAGAAGCAACAGCGTGCCAGTCTCAAGGTAAACTGTGAGGTCTTGAGCATCACAGGTCCTCCTGAAAGAGTTGTCCCTGGTCATTTAATCCTAAAGGCCTTTGGCCTTCGCTCTGCCTGTGTCATCAGAGCAGACCTGCCTTACTCCTCTGTCTAGACCTGGTGGAGTTGACCTTGCAGTTAGCTTGGTCTCAAGATGGCAACTTTCTCTAGATTGGAAACTGAAGACCAAGTGGAAGGTGTTTCCTAGCTCTGATGTCACGAGCTATTAATACGTGTTCTTTCCCACGATGGGATGGTCAGTGAAGCTTTCTTTACTATGGGACTTCTCACTGATGTATCTCCCAGTAGAAACTGTGGAGACAGGGCTGCACTTGGGAGGCAGAGACAGGTAGATCTCTGAGTTTGAGGCCAGCTTGGTCTATGTAGTGAGTTTTAGGACAGCCAGGACTACACAGTGAGACCCTGTTTTGAAAATAAATGAGCAAACAAACAAAAACCCAGAAACTGGGTGGGACTCTCTATAAAAGAAAACAATATTTTCAGATCTTTTTCCCTTTTGGATTCTACAGACTACTTTGTTTAGAGCAAGGCTATCTAAAATCCCATTAAAAGTAGAGAATAAAATTATCTGAGTATGTTGGACTCAAAGTCATGGTCCAAGATGCTCTGACCACTTTCCCCACATATCATTGCCTTCCCAAAATGCCAGCAGTAAGAATCGTTTGTCTCATTTGTCTTTTGACTGTGTGTGTGTGTGTGTGTGTGTGTGTGTGTGTGTGTGTGTGTGTGTGTGTGTGTGTGAAGGCTAGAGAGGGCGCCAGAGCTAGGATATACATGCTGGGATTGAACTCAAGTCCTCTGCAAGAGCAAGAAGCACTCTTAACCACTGAGCCATCTCCTCTGTCCCTTGACAATTTTAAGGACTCGGCTTCCCCTTTCCCTATGCTTTAAGCACATTAAATGATTTCATGAATAAACATCCCCCTTCCTTCCATGCTGTATGTGGCCCGCTGACTATCCTGCTTATGAAACAGTTGTGTGGACAAATGGATTGTGATCTCTGGGTTGCTAAAGCCCAGCAACAGGTCATATGTCAGCACTGTAATCCTGCTCTGGGCTCACAGGCATTACAGTGTGGGCACAGCAAGGCACAGCCTCTTGATTGGACATGAGGTGGTGACTCAGGTCCAAGACAGGGCCACAGTTAGCCTCCTAGTAAACAACTGACCTGTTCTTTCTGGGCTCCTCTCCCTAGGATTTCAACAGCACCATGGAAATAGCCATCTCTCACAGGGGAATTTCCAAGACCCACACAGTGTGTATCGCCACAGCCTCCCCATTTTCCTAAAGGGCTGAGGAAAGGGCTTGTGTAAACCCTTTATTTGTCTGTGTTGTCCTCTGTGGGTCACAGTTATAGAATCCAGCCTGCACTTTGGAATACAACTGTGAGTAGTGGGGAGAATAGGAGGGCTGGGGTGAATTTGGTCAGGCCAGGTTTGAGGTGCTTCTGTCCTGGCTGTGAGTGAGGTGTATGTACATGCATGTGGGGGGTGGGGTGGGGATCATGTGAAGGGAATGGCGCTTGTCAGTCTAACCAGTCACCTGGATGTGTGGGTTCTTTTGGATAGGGTGGGCTCTTTTTGTCTCAGCTGCCTGCCCTTCTGCTGTCTGCTTCTGTATGGAGGCTGTCCCTTATTCTGGGCTCTGTTCTTTCCTGGCCAAGGAGGAAGCAATTTATAGGCCTTTCCTCTTTTTTTGAGGGGGAGGGGAAGGAGGAGGTAGTGTTGGGTCCCCTGTCGACTCCTGGGGTGCCTTCAGGAGGGTGGTTTTGCATGATGGGGCTTCTGAGAGCAGGCAGAGCAGTTCCTGCTATAGATGAATCCCCTTGATGATGTTAGCCTTATTATCCCATCAGGCCTAAAGTGAGGTTCATACAGGAAGCAGCCAAGGTGATGGTATCACCAGTCTCTGCTCAGCTTTCATTGGAGCCTGGGCGTTGGAGGGAGGGTAGCTTATCCTGTGTGGCTGCCCCGGGCAGCAGAACGAGCTGCTTTCATTTCTTCTGGTGAAGGCTTGGAGCAGGGCCAGGAGTTGGTATTCAGGATCCTACATCCATTTTGCCTTGGATAACCAGCATTACCTGAGGCCTTTAGAGCTTTTGGAAATTTTCCACTTGCATTTCGTATTCGCAGGAGAATTTCCAGGCCAGACTTTTCCTGCTCACAGATATGCAAAGCAGAGACCTCCCACCCCAGCCACAGCAGGGAGGACTCAGCTAGCTGCTCCCGCCCTGACTCAGCTCCAGCCAGCACAGGCAGCACATCGCCTGGGTGGCATCCTCAGAATCAGTTATGGAGACACCAGGCTCAGGTCTGTGACATGGGTACTGCATTGAGGTTCTGGCAGGAGGAGGGAACAACAAGTTTGTGATTTTGGTGGCATTGGGCCACTTTTCCGGAGGGGTCTTAGTGCTGTGCAAAGTTGAAACTGGTGGTGTTGTAGCGCTTCCTAACTCCTGGACAATTGTTCATGGTCATTAGAGGGTGCTGTGTGTAGCATTAAGATAAGCTGTATCGTTAGCCGACTGATGCTGGTGAATTCACAGCTAAGCCTCACAAGCCTGCTGGCTTCAGTTGACAAATGATTTAAAGCCAGGCATGATGGGGCTGCTGGAGCAGAACTTTACTTGGCATCTGTAGAGTGGGCTTTCCTTGGCAAGACTGGCCTGGCATATGCTAGTAGTTTGGGAACAGGATGGCAGGGTGTCCATCTAGGATGCTCAGAAAGCTGCAGATGTGCTGCAGGGTTCAAGGCCCACTGAGGTCCATTTGCACACAGGTCCATTTGCAAGACTGGGGCATGGAAGCCTGGACCAAAGTCCTCACCATATGTGGTACACTCATCATAATCCTTTAGCTGATTCATGCAAGTTCTGAAAAGAAAAGGATCTTGGGAGGGGTCAGGAGGGAAGAGAACACGTGTGTGTGTGTGTGTGTGTGTGTGTGTGTGTGTGTGTGTGTGTTGGGGGGGGGACTAAAATACATCACATACGTGCATGAAAATGACATGCTGAAACCTGTTATTTCATACAGTGAATTTACACTAATAAAAATTTAAGAGAGAAAAAAGGAAAGGGGCCTATAGGGAAGCATTATTCAATGATCCAGGAGTCTTGTGTGCCTGGGGGACCTGGGGAATTCCATGTCTCCTCCATCATTGAACTTAGGCTCAGCCTAGCAAGGAGCATGTATCTTCTCTTGGGGCCCAGCCTGAGGGAGACAGACTCAAGCTAAGGAAGAAGGGAATGATCAAGTGTAAGGAAGGTACATGAGGAAGACTATGTTTGCTTGACTTCAATAAGGAAACAGTGCTTCAGGGATGGAGATGGTGGGCTATGGTGTAAGGAACCTTGGGCATGTGGGCTGTCCCAAATGTCCCTTCCTGAGGGGTCCAGAGTGGCTTAGGTTGTGTGCATCTGTTGAGTAGAGGGAGCAGCTTTACACATGATAGGAGCTAGGCAGAGAGTATTTTTCTGTGTGGGGCAGGTGGGAAAGGGCCCAATAGTCAAATACTGGAGGAAGACGTTTGACTTACTTTCCTTTCATGGAGTCTTAAGACCACCCATTTTTTCTATTATCTTAGTATCTTAAAAATGAAATTAGCTAGGTGTAGTGGTGCATAGTTTTAAACTAGCACTCATGAGGCAGAGTCAGGCAGATCTCTGTGAGCTGAAGATCAGCCTAGTCTACAGCAGCAAGGTCCAGGTCAACCAAGGCTACACAGTAAACACAAAAAACAAGATGAAAACAGGAAATTATAGCAGCATTAATTATTAAAATAAGACATCCCAGCTGGGTATAGCAGTTTATACATTATAATCCCAGAACTCAGGAAGCTGAGGCAGGAGGATCACTACAAATTTAAGGCCAGCTTGAACTAGAACAAATATCAGGTTAGTCTGGGCTATATAGCAAGATTCTATCTTAAACAAAAACAAAAACAAAGCAACCCAAATCAAAACAGCTATCCCCTACCATCTGGTTGTTTTGAATGTGTAACACTCCCATGGCCCTGATCCTAAGGGAATGCATTTTTATACCATTGTAATCAAAGTACATCACAATTTCATATATTATTTCTTTATTTACAATTACTTTACAGGATTACAAAAATGTGGCTGCTCCTGTTTCCTTGGTTCAGATTATCTTCTTGGTGATTTCAGGAAGTTTCATTTGCTTGGGTAGTATTGGCATCTGCTGCCCTTTGTCTGGGTCTCTCTGTGTCTACTTCTGAGATGTGACATAAGGTTCAGGATACTGCACTTGACCAATGGACTAGGAATTGGGGCACAGGGTCCCACTTTGTTCCTGCTTGCCTGCCAAGCCTATTTGTACTGCCCCATGGTTACCTTCATCTCGAGCTTCTGCTCTGATGGCCCCAACCTCCCTCCCACACAGCCATCTCTATTCCTCTTCCTCCTCAAAGTGGATAGGTTTTTGCTTGTTCTTGGCTGATGTGCTCCCTGGCTGCTCTCTGGACCCTTAAGATTGGATGAAGTGGGCCTTCCTCCCCCTTCCTCTCTCATCTTCCTTAGACTGAGAGGCCCAGAAAAGACACATCCCTGGGGTGGGGAGGAGGGAGGGATTTGGTTTCACAATCAAGACCACAGACATGGCTCTGACTGTCCATTACCAACCTGTTTTCTTCCTTCCTGTGTGTGTGTCATGATTAGCCACACGTGCTACAGAGAAGATCAGTGCACTGCATCTCCAGTGCAGGAAACCTCTCCACCACTTACAATAAGAAGACCCAAGAGACCGCTTACAGTGCCTCGTAATCTCGCAGATGAGAAAAATGTGAGGCCTAAGAGTGACTGACCCAAAATGGCCTAATGAGCTCTGCTCCTGTAATTGCTTCCTGTCCTTGACTGAGAGCAGCAAGGCCCATCCCACCCTCATCTAGCCTGGCCAACAAAACCACTGTCTCTTGAAATAGCCTTAAAGAAACTTGTAATAGGTGGTGGTGGTGGAGGAACCCCTCCCCACACCTCACAAAGCTCCTGGGGAAGGCATCAGGACTATAGGCAAGGTCTATTTACCCAGTTATATGCTCAGGACAGAGAGGAAGAAGGAAGAGAGGGAGGGGAAGGAAGGGAGGAGAAAGGACATTTGAAGATAGGAGGATAGCAAAAGCTTCTTTTAGGAAGCGAATTTTCAGCTGAGTAAAGAATGTTACTGTTAAGAGCCTTTGAAGTGTTTGCTGGATAGTGTTCCTGGATAGTTCCTGTTAGATAGTGTCCTCTTAGATAGTTCTGGAAGGTTGGGGGAACTTGGGATTGTGGTCTCAGAGTCCTTCTTTTCAGCTCGAAGAGTACTCCTGGATATCCCCGGGCTCGGCTGAAGCTCACTGTTAGCCCTGAGCTTGGGCCTTCTCTCTTGGAGGGGACTGGGATGGTAGAGGGCTGGGGGTCCCTGGCAGTCTTGAGAAGGGCTGTTCTGATCCCTGTCTTGACCCTCTCAACTTTGAAAGTAAAGAAGGTGGGGTTGCATTCCCACAGGTTGGAGAAATGGAGGAGCTTAGGTGATTAGTCCGTTCTTTGGTTTCTGACATTTGCTGCTTATGAAATGTGAGCCGCCCGTGAGCTTCACACCCACTTACTTATGAAGCTAATTTTGAAATCTGGTCTGCTGGCTGGGCTTGCTCTGGGTCTTCATCTCCACAACTGACTCAAGGACCAGGCCTGGGGTCAGTGGCCTTCTGTTCTTTACTCTGGGGACTCAGGACATCCACAAAGCCAGGAAAACTCACATTTGTTCTTTCTTTGTCAGCCGAGATGCCTCGCCAATTCCCCAAGTTGAACATGTCCGATTTGGACGAGCAAGTCCGGCTGTTGGCGGAGAAGGTGTTTGCTAAGGTGCTCAGAGAAGAGGACAGCAAAGATGTTATGTCCCTGTTCACTGTCCCTGAGGACTGTCCCATTGGACAGAAGGAAGCCAAGGAGAGAGAGCTCCAGAAGGAACTGGCAGAGCAGAAGTCTGTGGAGACAGCAAAAAGGTTTGTTCCCACGATCTAGCTTTCATGTGTGTAGAGTTGTGTGACCTGACTTGGGACACCTGAGGGAGATGACACCCTGGGTCTCTGGTGCTCTCTTAATCAAGGCCATTTAACTCACTAGGTATTTAGTGAAGGATACCTTGCTGCCTCTGCCTGCTTGAAAAGTTCCAAGGCCAGGCTACTTGTGTGTATGTTCATGCATATCCATGTGCATGGAAGAACATGTGTGGGGGCACACATTCATGTGGGGGCCTGAGGTCACTCTCGGGCACTGTTCCTCAGAAACTGTCTACCTTGTTTTATATTGAAAGGTATATTTTATTTTAATTTAAAGTTATGTGTAGGCATGTGCATATTTGAATGTGAGTGCCTGGGGAACCTCTGAAACTAGAGGTGGTTGTGAGCTACCTAAAGTGGGCTTTGATCCTCTGGAAGAGCAGTATGCACTTTTAACTGCTGAGCTGTCTCTTCAGCCCCAATATCTATTTGTGTGTGTGTGTGTGTGTGTGTGTGTGTGTGTGTGTGTGTGTGTGTGTGCTGGAGTATGAACATAGGTATTTGAAAAGGCCAGAAGAGGGTATTGGTTCCCTCTTGGATCTTGAGTTACAGGTAGTTGTGACTGCTTGAGTCAAGCCTTCTGAATGAGCAGTGTAAGGTTTTAACTGCTGGAACACCTCTCCAAACACCATCTCATTTTTTGGGTCTCTCACTGAGACCTGAGGCTCTCTGATTAAGCTAGACTGGCTGACCAATGGGCTCCAAGAACCTGACTGTCTCTGCCTCTTGTGTGCTGCGATTATAAACTTATAACACCAGGCCCAACAGTTTATGTGAGTTTTGGGGACAGAGCTTAGGACTCCATGATTGTGCCATGGGCACTTTACCAAGTAAGCCATCTCCCAGGTTCCCCTGCTGCTGTTGTGGCAACAGATTATAGATGGAAACACACACCATTTTCACATAGCATTTCTCTCTTCAGGAATTTGAGGATTTAGGTAAAACACCAGTTTTTACTTGTTTTCATTTTTGTTAGCATGCTTCAATGTTTGCCAAGCATGAACTGGGACTGTAGGTGTCACAATGTGTACTATAGATAAAGTTTCTGCTCTGTGGATCTTACGCTGGGTGGGGACAAGAATTAAGTAACTGTATACATTAATAAAAGAATGACAAGTTGTGATAAGGACTGGAGTAGTTTATGGTTAGACAACTAGAAAACAGGAAGCACCCCAATATTAGAAATAGGGTTATAGTGTAAGGAATTGGTTATATGGTTCATGGAGATCTGAGAATAAAAATAGGGGAGAGATTTGCCAGAGGCAACATGCAGTAGAGGGCAGTCACCACCTCTAGGTGAGACAGACAATAGACAGATGTGTGCCTACATCTGGAGCTGGGGTCACCTGGAAAAGCTGGACTAGGCAGTAGCTAAGAGCTACCTTCAGGGCCAAGGTGCAGGCCAGGATTCTCTCTCTCTCTCTCTCTCTCTCTCTCTCTCTCGTATTAAATATTTTTTATTTGTTTTAATTTTTTTATTAATTTATTTTTTACATTCCAATCCCAGTTCCCACTCCCTCCACTCCCTTCCCCTCCCATAGGAAGTCTACTAAGTCTGTCCCATCAACTAGTTGAGGCAGGACCAAGGCACCTCCCCACCTCCATGCCCCTGTGTCTAGGCTGAGCACGGTGTCTCTCCATATAGAAGGGGCTCCCCTAAGTCAGTTTGTGCATTAGAGTTAGATCTTGGACCCACTGCCAGAAGGTTAGGATTCTATCCCTCACTTTACCCTTCCTAGACCTCTGTTCTCACAGTCTCGGTCATTGGCCAAATCTAGTTCAGAAGCCAGATGACACCCTGGGAAGGGAAGGAGAGGGCATAGGTTAGATTGGAGACAAATGGGCCTCAAAGTGGCACAAGTGCTACCAGGTGGATGAATAAGGAATTGTGTGCATGTGTGTGGGGATGGGGAGGTGGGGGAGGGTTAGGAGTGGCGGCCATGAGAACGGAAGCACACTGTTTAAAGGTGGGGTCGTTGAGGGTGGCTTTAGTTGATACCCCAAGTCTAGCTATAGTTTGACCTGTGGCAGCCTGACAGGGAGACAAGCCAACCAGAGCCATAGGCCCTCACACCTTCAAGGAAGCCCATTCAACAAGAAGGAGCAATCCTCTGCCCTGTGGCTGAAGATGAGTGGGACCCATCAGGCTAGCTTTTTGCACCTAGTAAACAGGTCTCGGGTAAGAGCAACAAGGAAGTTCTAATTTTCCTGGGCAAGGAGAATTATAAAGGAATAAGGCTTCTAGGGGTCTTTATTGGAGCTATTAGTCAGGTCCCTGTCTGCCCTGCACCCTGCGGACTTCAGCAGCAAAGAGCTAAGAATGCCTTGGACCTGAGAACTCTCCCTGAACATTCCTCTGGGATAGACCTCTCATTTTACTTTTTTTTTTTTTTTTTTTTTTTTTTTTTTTTTGAGGCAGGGTCTCATGTACCCCAGGCTGGCTGTGAACTCTTGGTTCTCCTACCTCCACATCCTATGTTCTGATGTTACAGACGTGAGCCACCACGCCTGGTTTATATGGTCCTGGGGAAGGAACCCAGGGTTTTATGAGTGCAAGGCAAGCCTTCTACCAGCTGAGACTGAGCCATACCCCTAACACGGAGACCTCCCTTTTGAGAACAAGCCCCACTCCCTTTTTCCTTGGCAGGACAGGATTTTGGCATTTCCTTGGAAGGATGAAGTTGGTATTTGTATAAAGAGGTTGATATTTGTATAAAGAGGCAGGGGCAGAGCTTGGCCATCTGGAAGATCAGCCTCTGCTTCCCTCAGATATGCCCTTGAGCCCTTGAAGGAAGGCGTCATGGCTAGCCACTGAGTGCCATCCTTGTATCAGGAGGTAGCTGGCCCCAGACCTACTGCCATGTTCATCCTTGCAAAGTAGAAGGAGTCAGACTGTGGTGTCCCTTGTCTACGCTGCCTGGCATCACAAGGGCTGGCCTCAGGGGCTGAATGCTCGGCAGGGCCTTCTGTGTTCTGTGAATAGGGCATTCTGGGTCTTCATAATGAAAGCAGGAGTCCCTGGCATTTGGTATTACCAAGAATAATAAGTGTCTGAGGCAAGTTTCCATTGACATCTTCAGAGGGAGTCTGTACTTTCCCATCAGAGCCCAAACCCAGAGCAAAATGAAAGCTTTGTTACTCTCGATTCAAATGGCACTGTGGTTTCCAGAGAGCCTGCTGCAAACTCTGCAGAAATGTATCCTGTCTTTTCCTGCTAGGTGGAAGTTTCCTGGTTTGTACCTATCTGATTCCCTGACTTGGGAACTATGTCTGCCTCTCACTTCCCACGGCCCTGCCTAGGCCTCAGCCAGGTTGGAGACCAATGGGTGTCAGCAAAGAAGAGGGTTCTGCCTTTCCATTGCCACCATGCATAGGACAGCTGCCACTCACTAGCATGCTTTGTGACTCATGGAAAAACAAAAAAACCTTTCTGGGACTCAGGTTCTTCCCATCTAAAAATGGGGGGGTGATAATGGCCAGCCTTTATGGGGCATTTTGAAGGATGATGGAATTAGCATATGTAAAAAAGCTTAGGACATCATGTCTGGGTCATGGTTCACCATGTAAATATTGCCGCCTGGCTTCCTGCTGCTGAGGTGGGTGGCAATAGCACACGCTGCTGTTGGATGCTGATGGTGTGGCAAGTCCTAGGCATCACAGTTTTGTAGTAGTCCTTCCTTGGTGTCCCAACCTGGCTGACTAGGCAAGTAGAGCTCTTGGGAGTTGCACAAGGGCACAGTAAGTGACAGAGCATGTCCTGTGGCCCCACACTTTAACCAGGACACTGTCCTGCCCCCTGAAGTGACACCTGGAATGTTAACTGCTGCTTCTTAGAGACATGTGGGGAGAAAAGCCAGCTATAGCTTCATTTCTGAAAGACACCTGGATCCTTGATTATTTGTCTGATGTCCCAGGGACCCCTGGGGCTGAGTTTATTCACCTCTCTGCTCACTGGAGGTGCCTTTATGTAGCCATTAGATACCCACATCTCCGGGGACCATACCTTCCCAGGTCCTCATCCATCAGTGATTCCTCCCAATGTTCTGGGATAAGTGGTGACAAGGACCTTTGGGGCACAGGCCTGCCAACAGCAGCAGGTCTCCAGATCCCCAGTCTATGAGTCTGTATTTCCAACTGTGACACAAAATGGATCTTCTAGTTTGGGACACACACCTCCCCCACACTCCATCTGCCCTGAATGCCTGTGGTGCTAGCAGAAGGCTCTTCATACGGCACCATATTTTTTCTCTTATTTAGACAAAACAAAACACCTACAACTCTTTTTAAATCTAATGTAGAGGCACAAGCTGGGAGCTGAGCTGTGAGGAGGAAGATGAGCACCTGTCACTTGGCAGCCTGCCAGGTAGGAGTGCCAGCTCTTGGAACAGGGCAGGGTTTAGACAGCCTTGGTGGAGTTGGGGACCAACTCAAGGCTGCTCAGAGAAGTGCTAATTTTGTAGGTCAGGCCCAGATTTCTAACCAGCAAGACCACTCACTGAGGATTACCTCCCTCTGACAATAGCCCCTCTGACAATAGCCAGGTTTCTGCTAGGCAGGTGGGTAGGTGGGTGAGGGTCTAAAGGGTGGAGGGTGGGCTGCTTTTGAAAGTCAAGTTTGGAGGCTGGGCTGGAGGGCTCTGCCAGTGGGTCGTGCATTCCCTTTGAGGCTCACATGTGTTTCCTAGCATGTAGAAGGCACAGCTCACAGAAAGTGTTTGGAAAAAAAAAAAAATCAGAACTGTTAAACATGCAGGCTTTTAAACGACTGGTGCCTGTTCACCTGGAAGGCTGGAATGGATGTTGTCTAACAACCTGGTGATCTCTTGCTAGTAGTCTAAGAGCCAGCCTTCCTGAATCCCCCACATCCTGAGCTTTGTCTCTCAGTAAATAGAATCCATACCTATGAAAGGCCCCACGTACTCAGCATGCTCAATTAATAGACCC